CAGACTCCATCAATCGTTAACAGACAGTAGTTTTGAAAGGATATAACGTCACGAATGAGTGCGTATTTTCGATAAGACTGGTTGACCACTGTAATCATTCGTTTATTAGTCTGAATTTTCATACTCGTTAAGGAGCCCATCCTCCGAAATATTAGCAGCAACAAAACGAGCCACAGTTACAGGAATTATAAGCCTATCAGTGCTCAAGAACGCAAATCTGAAAGTTACTGCGCGGGGCTCTGTATGTCGGCACCAGATCGATGCATGTATTGATTGAGTTCCCATCCGACGCCCAGGCTTCAATAAATTCTCGAGTTGTCTTGCATCTGATTTGGGCGACTTTCCATATGACTGTAGAATTGTGCGCACGGCCTGTTTAGAATGTGTGTGACACCGCTTGCGTTAATTCATCACCCCTTCGCACACTCAACTTATGTTCATGTAGGCGCGATCGTAGCATGAGTCCAGTCCGAGTTGGTTAGTTAAAAGACAGTTTAGATACGATGTGTAATATACTACCATAAACTGCTCTTTTAAATATAGTAAGCCTTTGATTTCTGTGACCCTGTTCGCATGGGACTTTGTGTCGGTGTGCCCTTCCAATACCGTCCTGAGTAAATGTGCTCCATCGCTTCTGAGATGTCCGTAATGTATGCAGAGCGTGCCCTATGTTGTGCCTGTTGGGCTCCCACGGACCGAACATGTAGGCATCGGCTTATAAACGCCCTAAGCTTGTTATTCAGCATAAACTGGTCCCGCAGATATTGGACCACGCGTAATTTTTCCCGCGGCTTGCTCCAGTGGGTCTGCATCCATTTGAAGAGCGTTCTTACAAAACTTCGTTTGTGAGTCAACGGCAGCACACAGAACTCTGTGCCGTCAACCCGGGCTTGCGTCATTAATCGTTGTTTGGCTTATAGCTCCTCTGCGTATAGCTTATTCATTTGCTGTTGCTTTCTCGGACGATGGAGTCCTGAAATAGTCCGAAAGTTCAGAATAATAATAAAATTTTTTGGTGCTCGACTAGTCCTCTTCGTCAAGCATATGGAGTCGTCAAAAGTTCGTCCTGCGGCGATTTCATAGACGGACTCCAGGCGAAGATACTAGGCTTACGTGAAGCTGAGTTTACTTAAGCAATTTCTCCGAAGAGGTGGACAACTCGAGACTTGGCTCTACGCCGTTCGTCAAAACATGGAAGCGGTTCTTGGACTTTCGATTTCGGTCTCCGTCGCTCGGAGAGAATAGATGGAGCTTTCTAGATCTGCCACCGCGATTCGTCACGCGTGAAAAGGTGCAATAAGTGTCATCATTGATGCCGGCTAAAAAAGGCACGATCATAGCTGCCATTAAGGTCACACCAGGACATTTCGAATTCTATTGATGTCCGATGCTCTTGTTACTACATTCTAAACTTTTTTCACGGAATCTAAATTCTTAATATCATAACTTGCATCCTGCTTATGCTTTTTAGACCACCGAAACCGACCTCCAACCTCGATCTGCCTTCTGATTTGCCCGTAAAACGGACGAGAATAGAAAGGATCAAACTCTGTCTACCCTCAGTCGCCAAAGGTAAGTCTTCAAGCGCGAAAGAAGTCTTCGCCGAGAAGGCTGAACTGCTGGCTCGCCTCTCGGAGGTCAACGAGTCTAACATCGATGATGCCAAGCATCCGGCGTTTGAGGAGAAGCAGTTGACATCCTCCGCAAACGCACAGCGTGC